AAATCGATCGAAGTCAAAAAAAAAAGAGGTCGAACTCAAAGGTTAGGCCTATCAAAGGAAAATATTAAAAGTACGGCCAGGAGGGTCATATGTCTTCAGTCTGCAAAGCGTCAAAAAAGGATGCAAACGAGCAGGAGGCTCACATCGTGCAAGATGTATTGATCCTTGCTATGGACAACGATTCTGATTCTTGGGTTGTTGACTCAGGAACCTCTTTCCACGCCACTGTTACTAGGAAACTTCTTCAAAACTATGTAGCAGGGGACTTTGAGAAAATGTACTTGGGGAACAACGAGCCTTGCAATATTGTTGGAAGAGGCGACATGCAGATTCAGATGAAGGGCTCTAAGTGGAATCTAAAAAATATCAGACACGTACCGAAACTGAAGATAAATCTTGTTTCGGTTGGTCAGCTTGGAGCAGAAGGCTATGTTTCAACATTCACCGAGGATTCGTGGAAAATCTTCAATGGTACTATAGTGGTTGCCCGTGGTAACAAAACCGAAACACTCTACCTTACTTCACATGTGAGTGACACCCTCATAATTATAACTGACAAGGAGAGTGCAGATCTATGACACAACAGCTTGGAACACATGAGCGAGAAGGGTATGAAGATTCTTCACTCACAGGAAAAGCTAACCGGCATCGATTCAGTAGAAGTTGGTGTTTGCGAGAATTGCATCTACGGGAAGCAGAAGAGGGTCAGCTTTCAGAAGAGTGGAAAATCACTAAAGGCTCAAAAGCTAGAGCTTGTTCATACAGATGCATGGGATCCAGCTAGCGTGTCTTCACTTGGCGGTTCGGTGTACTATATCACTTTTATCAATGATCATCGAGGAAGGTGTGAGTATACTTCATGAAGCACAAGTCAGAGGTGTTCGAGATCTTCGAAGTGGAAAGCCTTGGTTGAGAACGAGACAGATCTGAAAGTGAAGTGTTTGAGATCAAACAACGATGGAGAATACAAGTTGGAGGAGTTCAAGAGGTTTTATGCTCTAAATGGGATTCGTTTGGAGAGTACTCCAGGGAAGTCGCAACAGAATGAAGTTGCACAGAGAATAAACAGAACATTGACAAAACAAGCGAGGAACATATGTTTACATGCAGGTCTACCTAAGACGTTTTGGACAGACACGATGCATACGACAGCTTTATCTGATTAATCATAGACCATCACTTCCATTGGATTTTGAGATTCCAAAAGAGGTTTGAAGTGACAAAAAGGTTAATCTCTCACATTTGCGAGTATTTGACTGCGCGGCATATGTTCATATTAGTGACCATGTCAGGGACAAACTAGAAACTAAGTCACAGAAATGTACATTCATTGAATACGATATTGATGAGTTCGGGTATCATCTTTGGGATGAGAACTAGAAAATCATCAGGAGCAAAGATGTGATATTCAATGAGATGATGTACAAGGACAGAGATAATGCCAAAACAGTGAGAGCAGCACTACTGATGCAGGTGGATCTGAGTACATAGATTTAGAGAAACTTTCAGATGGGGGAAACAACGTTAGTTCTGACTGAAGAACGAAGGAGACTCCATATGCAGAGACTACTACCCAGAACGTGAAGCTTAGGAGGTCATCCAGGGTACCCAAACCAAATCTCAAATATCTCTCATCACTCGATTACTTACTTTTGACAGATAGGGAGAACCAAAGTGCTATGAGGAGGCTATGTAAGTGAGTGAATCTCAGCAATGGTAGCATGCGATGCAAGAAGAGATGGATTCTCTACACACTAATAAGACGTGAGAGTTAGCCCAACTATTTACACAGAAGAAAGCCTTACATAACAAATGAGTCTACCAGATCAAACAGGAGAGTAATGGAAGTAAGAGATACAAGGTCAGATTAGTCGTGAAGAGGTCCCAACAGCGGGAAAAAATGGATTATACGGAGATACTTTTTCCTATTATAAAGCTTACAACCATCAGAATGGTGTTGAGCTTAGTAGCTACAGAAGATCTCTACCTTGAACTGTTAGATGTGAAGACTACCTTTCTTCATGGTAACTTGGATGAAATCTATATGAAGTAATCTGTTGGCTTCATTAAAGAAGAAAAGAAAGAGATGGTGTGTAAGCTCAAGAAGAGCTTGTACGGATTAAAACAGGCTCCGAGACAGTGATACAAGAAGTTTGATAACTTCATGCAGAGCAATGGCTATAGAAGATGCAATTCAGATCATCCTGCTATATCGTATTATTATTGTATGTTGACATGTTAGTTGCAGGACCGTGTTTAGAGAAAAAACAAATTAAAAAAGCAATTGACGAAGGAGTTTGCTATGAATGATCTGAATGTAACAAAGCAAATTCTTAGGATGCGAATCAGTCGAGATAGAGCTGAAGGGACGTTAAAATTGAGTCAAGCTGAATACATCGAGAAGGTACTTCAAAGATTCAACATGAAGAATGCTAAGCCCGTCGGCACGTCCCTTGAAAGTCAATTCAAGTTATCTGAGGAGTAATCACCCAAGACAGATGCGAAGAAGGACATGAGCAAAGTATCATTCATCAGCCATTAATAGTCTTATGTACGCGATGGTTTGCATAAGACCGGATATCGCTCATGCAGTGAGAGTTGTGAGTAGGTTTGCAAGCAATCCAGAAAAGCAGCATTAGAAAGCCATGAAGTGGATATTATGTTATTTGAGAGGGACTACGGATATGTCATTGTGTTTCAGGAGGAAAGAGTTGGTACTACGGAGATATATGGATGCAGATTTCATCGGTGATCATGATACGAGGCGAAGCATCATGGGGTATGTTTATATCTTAGCGTCGACAGCAGTGAGTTGAGTCTCACATTTGCAGAAGATAGTAACATTATCCACGACTGAGGCAAAGTATGTCACAGTGACTGAAGCCAGCAAGGAGATGATTTGGTTGACCGGGTGTCTGAAAAAATTAGATTTAAAACAGGGGCACGATGTTTTCTATTGTGATAGCCAGAGTGTTATACACCTTACCAAGAATCCAGTATATCATGTCAGAACGAAGCACATTGACGTACGATACTACTTCTTACGCTCGCTGATTAAGAACGGTAAGTTACGATTGGAGAAGATTTTGAAGAGCCAAAATCATACGGATATGTTGACGAAAACAGTGACTATCGACAAAGTGGAGTTGTGCACAACTTCAGTTGACCTTCACGCGTAGAAGATGAAGGTGGAGCCACACTAGGAGGAATGACGAGATCACCGAGATGATGATGATTGAAGAATGGATTTTTTTTTCGGTGAGGAGAAGATGCTTGCAAAGATGACAGGAGTTCGGGAGAGCTCGTTGATGACGGTTTGATCTCCAAGTGGGAGATTGTCTATCTCGGGTGTGGAAACCCAAACCTGAAATCAAACGAACGAAGAAAATAGGAAAAACGTGGGTCGGTCAACCGACGGACCTGGTCTGATCGACCGTGACGCCTGCAAGAAAACAGGCATAAATTAAAGCTCTGGTCGGTTGAACGAGGGCCTTGATCCGATCGACTGAAAACATGCACCAAAACCCTGCAGAAATTGACATTCTGGCAGGTCAACCGAAGCACATGACCCGATCGACGAGGAACGGGATTTCCAGTTTCCTAAACTGTTTGGGAAACCGTTTTGGGCTAGGATCCTATATATATACCTAAATGATTTTAGGGTTATGAGAACACGTGAAAAATAGGGTTTTGAAAAGATTCTTTAAGAGAGATCTCAAAAAGATAAAAACATATTTGTGGGCATTGTAATCTTCTTCAATTAATCAAAAAAATTGTGTGGTGTGACTCCCGAAGACGTAGGCACGATGCCGGATCACGTTAAATATGGTGTGTTCTTTCTTGTTTATCTTTCCTGCAATTTTTCTTTTATTTGCAATGATTTTCCTACTTGCTAAACTCTTAGCACAAGATCCGGAAGGGCACGGGTTCGATTGATTGTTTCGAATCCCCAACTTTATCTACATCACAAAAGCTTCATACATCCAGCTACAATATTTGGAAGATCTTTCTCAGTTTCAACTCACTACTGATGAACTGTTTCAAAAGTATCATTGGACAAGACAGGCTCTTATCATTTGGTGGCTCTTATCATTTGGTCTGGAATGCCATCTAGCTGACAGAAGTACAGCTTCCTTTTAACACTGATCGGAAACCCCTTTCAACATAGTTAATTTAATGTATACTCAGCTCGACTAGAGAGAATTACTTGAACACATTTAGTAACCAAGCCAGTCAGCTTACACCCTGCTAATATTGGTGTTTTCTTTACTTTTAAGCTTTACCAGAAATATAAAAACAAAAATGAAACCACAACTCTAGTCTCTTACTTTAGAAAGCTACCTCACTTTGAAATCGTCAGACAGTTAAAAAGCCAAGTGCAAGATGATGCTGATTATTCTGTCTACCTCATGCGGTGCACTCTAGTAATCCTGGTGAACTCTGCTTTTTTTGTGTTTTTTTTAAGAATTAAAATTAAAATTAATATTGACTATGGAACTCAAGGTACACCTGTCTTCATTCTTGATAGAAATAAACAGCGCAAGCTAGAGGATTTGAGCTGGCTAGATATATAACAAGCCAGCCACAACATGCCTTGACAAGATCAACGGCTCCTCAATCAAGCTTGGACATTGCCGCTGAGCGTAATACAAGCTCAGGTGGTGCCCTAACCTTAAACCCAGCTTGGGATGTCTATATAAGCTCCGCATAGTTGACATTTTAACTATCCTTGATAAAAAACAAAATAATAATAAATATAAGGTATGGATATTTGTTTTTCGTATTCACATGTGTGTATTTTGTCGAAAGAAATATCATGCAGAAAGCTTGTTCTATTGGTAGGAATTATACTGTATTATGCCTTAAATTGCCTAGAATCAGCTGATTAATTTAGTAATTCCTTCAATGTTTAAAAAGAAAAGAAAGGAAGACAAGAATAAACTAAAGGAAATAAATAAATAATTCGGTGGATGTGTGATCTTAAGTATTTGATTACCAACCTGCCCCATAGCTGACCAGTTTCACTGAAGGCATCAGGGGGGACACCGCTAACAAGAATGGGAAAGCCACTCCTATCCTGCACTCCAAAAAACGGAGCCTACAGCAACTGTATAACTTTTTAAAGCCATTTTTCCAATGTAAAAATCTCTCACCAGCATAAATGATCTCTTGTTTGCCCACACATCTGCACTGTGATGACCTACATAAATAGGCATATCACCCATAATCTTAATTCCCATATTTTGTGCATAATTGCGAACTTTCTGCCATTGCTTCTGAAACAAAAATTGTTGGGCGGTAAATGTATCTATCTGCATCATGAAAGTCAAGGCACATTTAGATAAATCCCTGAATTGACAACCAGGCACCCAAAATTTTCGTAAGGTGCATACATAATCCTTATGGCTTTGATACATGTCTTCCAAAGCTCCAAGATGGCGGTTTTTCAGACATTCAGGCCACTCACTCCAGGAAAATGAATCAATGCTATGGTCAATAGCTGCAAAAAGTGCAGCGTCTTCAAGCCAACCTAGATAGACAAAAATCACCTGATAATTAAGAGCCACTAAAGACCAGGAAATGACAGGTCAAAGTTTTTAAACAAGAAGACCAATTAGCCATGGTGAAGGCTTGGGGATTTAGAACCATCAGTCATGTTAGAGAGTGTGTCAAGTCAAATAATAGAGAAAAAGAGCTAAAGGAAAAAAAAGGAAATTTGGAGAAATTTTCTTTTCAATCCCACATATATAGAAGGCTAAATAACCAATAAGCTCTCCAGCTTCCACATCAATCCCCACCCCAAGCCCAAAAAAAAGCCATCCCCAAATCCTGCATATGCCAATTTCAGCGACATCTTTTCCGTCTTGACACCCACTGCTTCTAATCTAGCATCCCATTAATATCCCCATATACATGTGTTGTTTATTAGTTGGTCTTGATTCTTCTAGGCTAATGTTACATAATTAAACGAAGAGTTACAGGCAAAAAGATAGTCAAAGCGGGTAGCTTTCAAGAGTGAAAAGTGTCCACTGAGCCCTCATCAGCATTCATAGTCCAAACGGAATAAGTATTATATCAGTGTTAAGAACATGACTAAGTTAGTTCGTATATTATGAACTTTCGGAACAAGTTATATGAATACTTTACCATGCTCTAATTTAGCTGTCCAATTTGACATTGACATTGAAAAAAAACTCACGAGTGGTCTAGCCAAGTACCACAAATCCATAGCTAATCCAACTTAATTGAAGTTGGATAGATTTTCCAAGGCTCCTATCTACTAACGATGCACAAGAATGTTTTCACACGACAAATTCCGTCTCAATGCAATTCTTACAATATCATTTAGCCAGTGAAATTTGCTTGAGTCCAACTTTTAGAAAATTTCATCCTTTTCTGACTAGATTACTTGCTGCTATAGAGCAAGAAAACCTAAATTAAACGGGTGATTTGTACTTATATTGCAAAAGACAAGTGTGCTAATCCCAGAGTGAAAGGTGGTGTCAACTTCAATGGCCACCTGCCTTTGTGGATGCTGGCTCTGGCTGGGAACAGAGAGGAGATGAGGGCTAGATGCTTGAACATGATGGCTGCAAAGTGATGAGATAAGGAGTGTTGACTAGTGTCAACAAGAAAAGGCAGTGGAGGTGAATTTGTGGGGTGTGGAAATCAGAGAGGAGGATTTATTGATATCAATAAGAGAAGCTCAAAGAGGCTATCTATAATTACAATGCATTTCGGATTCAATGTATCTGGACTACTTTTCTCATAACTAACAAAATCCCTAGATACTTAGAAACAAATGATTCTAACAAGTTGATTCTATAGATCTCCTATAACCTCCTTTCTAACTTCTTTGACGCTCCCCTTCAAGGTAGAGCGTAGATATTTTCGAAGCCAAGCTTGCCCATAAATGTGTGAAAAAGTTTTGGAGGCAATGCTGTTTTGAGGATATGAATAAGCTGCTTATTACTTCAAACACAAGAGAAAGAAATCACTTTCTTCACTCATTCATTACGTACAAAATGACAGTCAACTTCATTATGTTTGGCACATTTGTAGAACACTGAATCCTCAGTAATTTATAGGGCAACCTGATTGTCACAATGGAGAGGAATGGGAGATGATATATGAATGTCTACATCTCATAGAAGGGATCGCAACCATAGGATCTTGGAAACAAGGTGCCAAATAGCTTTGTACTCAGCCTCTATACTGGAACGAGCAACAACTGATTGTTTCTTGCTCTTCCATGATACTAATTTTCTTTCAAGGAATACAAAATATTCACTAGTGAACATTCTATCATTAGCAGATCTTTTCCAATCAGTATCTGAATATCCTCGTAGGCTCAAAGAATCGCCAAGTTTGAAGAGAAGCATTGACGTGGTGCTTTCTTGAGATATTATAGAATGCAGATAACTGCTTCACAATGAGTGATGGCAGGTGCATGCATGAATTGACTGCCTTGCTAACTGCATATGCAATATATGGTCTAGTCACTAATAAGAATATTAGTTTTCCAACAAGTCTTCGGTACTGCCCTAGATTAGAAAATGGAGGATCAGTTGTGAAAGGAGATAGCCTAATATTAGGGTTCATAGGCGTGTCTTTTTGTAAAAGGAAGATATCATCCTTATTGCGAGCGACCTCAATAGCAAGAAATTAACAAAGTGGGCCAAGATCATTTGTATGAAAAACATGTGATAGTTGTTGCTTGATGTCTGCAATACCCTGTGAGTCACTACAGTGATGATAATGTCATCTACATATACTAGTAGAATCACAATACCCCTGCTTCTCTTTTTGGTGAAAATAGAATGATCTGCCTTACTTTTTGAAAATCCATAAGAGTAGACAACTTTTCTTAACTTCTCAAACAAAGCTCGAGGAGAATGCTTAAGCCCGTAAAGTGACTTTTTGAGCGAACACACCAAATTCTCTCGTTGTCGCTCAAAACCAGGTGGTTGTTGCATATATACTACCTTGCTTAGATCCCCATTAAGAAATGCATTCTTGACATCCAGTTGATGACGTGACCATGATCAACTGGATGGTCATGTCATCAACTGGATGCAACAAAGATGAATAACCGAATTGAGATGAGCTTGCCAATAAGTAAAAAGACCTCGGTAACAACTCTATATTGCTGAGAGTAGCCCTTAGCTAAGATGTTCAACAGTACCATCTGATTGTACTTCACGGTGAACACCCAACGACAACTAACTATTTTACCAGTAGGTAGGAGACCAACTGCCAGGTATGATTTTACTGAAAAGCTTGCATCTTATCTTCCATCGTTGCTTTCCAACCAGGATGCTTGAGAGCTACTTGAATATGTTCGAGTACATAAATGAAATCTAACAAGGTAAAAGTGCCAAAGGATCTGTTCAGTTTACGAGAGGAAAACAAACTTTATAATAGGATGGTGAGTGCAAGAACATTTTGCTTTATGAATAGCAGTAGGAATATCAATTGTCTCAGGGGTATTACTAATCAAGGAATGTGATGTGCCTAAAGGAACAATAGAAATAATATCTTTGATAGTGTTGTCGATTATACCCTTTCGCTTTTATATACAAACCTATATTGGTTTCTCGGGTGGAAAATCTAAGCTCTCAACAATGACCCTTAGTAAATCTAAAGAAGTTTGATCATAAGAAATTTTTGATTGAAAGAAAGGTTTTATTTCAAAAAATGACACATCATCTGAAGTAAACACTTGCTTACTATTGGGAGAATAGCAAAAGTACCCTTTTGATAATCGTGAATAATCGAGAAACACATAATGGCCATGGGATCTAATTTATCATTGTCAGGTCCTAGAGTCTGGACAAAACATGTACAACCAAAGACACATGGTGAAATAGGAAAGGCCTCTCGACACGGAAGGACAACGCTAAAGGGTGAGGAATGGTCAAGAACAAAATTCAACATAAAATTGATTAAAAAATAAGTAGTGAGTACAACAAAAATCCAATAAAAATTTGGAACTTTCATTTCAACCATTAAAAATCTAGCAGTGTTAAGCAAGTGTTAGTTCATGTCCACTCCATTTTGTTGTGGAGTGTAGACAAATAAAGTCCGGTGAATAATCCCATGTATGAAGAAAAAGTTTTGAAACTCACTACTCATATATTCTTTAGCACTGTCAGAACGAATTTGTTTAATAGTAGTACCAAATATAGTTTTATTTCATTAAAAAATATAGTGAATACATCAAACAATTCAAAATGATCTTTTAATGGAAAAAGACATGTCATTCGAGAAAAATCATCAATACATGTAGCAAAGTAGCGATATTTATTAAAAGAAGGAAAGCTCACTGGACCCCAGACATCAGAGTGAATCAAATAAAATAAAGTTTTACTAGTTTATTGACAAGTTTAGGGAAACCAAACTCACATGACTCACACGAGAAATTAAAAGTAGACTCACACTTAGGTACTAAATGTGGAAGAGTAATTGAGCAAGGATGCCCCATATGTAGATGGCACAATACAGGATCTGTGCAATAACTAAGGGCAGAAATCGAATATGGACTATCCAAAAGATATAAGCCATGTTATTCACGACCAGCTCTAATCACTTTTCTTGTCGCAATATCCTGAAAAAAACAGTGAGAAGGGAGGAATGTCACTAAACAATTTAAGTATTTACAAACTTTGTGAATAGAGAAGATACTACTAGGAAAAGTAGGAACCCATAATACAGATTTGAGTGAAGGATTAGATGTGAGGGTAATATTTTCTCCGCCTTCAACATCGACAGGTAAACCATTAGCAACACACACATCAGAGTTATCAAGTGGAGAGCGATGAAAGAGTTAAAGGAGACGTGTTCAGAAGCACTTGAATCTATAATCTACCGATGAGATGATCATGACAAACATCACATAATTGAACTGAGATACCAGAGGGTTTAGATAGCAACTGTCGGAAGGCTCGATATTCTTCAATGGAAAGGATGACCTGAGAGGACATAGTCATATTTGATGGTGCCATAGTCGATGTAGAAGAGTAGGAAGTTGCTGTGAAAGTAGAGGAAGAATTCACCATGGGAACAAGAACAAAAGGAGATGACCACCAATGATAGAAGTACTTGCGAGTTGACCTAAATAAGATCTGTGATGTTGAGACAGAGAATCACCACATCTAGCAAATCATTGTGATGCTCATAAGAGACAATTGGCATCGTCAATGAGATTGAAGGCGAATGCAGTGCTCATGTCGATGGAGCGGAGAATCTAGAAACAAAGATAGATATAGTGCTCATTGGCAAGATCTGTGAACTGAGATGGAACTAAGAGGGGCAGTTAAGTCTGTTAAATGAAGAAGTCAGAGAAGGATGGAGGATAACTAGGGTCTAGAATTTGGGAGGGGGTCGGATCTGAGGCTTGGGTATAATAGTTTGGCTCAGTTTGAAGTGGGTTGAGATTGTATTTGGCTGTTTAAGGTCAGTTTGAGATCTGTTTTAGGTTTCGTGAGATCTGTTGGGATCTGTTTGATGTGGTTTGGGCTGCTGGAATGC